ATTTATTTTTGGGAGAAAGAGAGTGCAGGCGAGGGGCAGAGAGAAAGGGAAACAGAGACTCCCAAGCAGGCTCAGCTAGTCAGTGCAGAGCTGATTTGGGGCTCGAACCCACCGTGAGATCATGACCTGAGCCTAAATCAAGAGTCAGACACTTAAGTGACTGAGTCACCCAGGTGCCCCAGATCAGTTATTTTAAAACCAGAATTATCATTACTGACATAGATCTTTTCACTTTTATTGGTTAACATTTTAGCTTTTCAACTATAGTAGCTCTCAGATTTAGACATTCTAATTTGTTTTTAAAAAACATTACCAGTCACTAGTTAGCCAAATTCATAACCCTGTAAAGGCATCTTGACCAGTCATTTAAAAGACTGTCAATACAGACTTCCATGTCTGTACTAAAACCCCATTAAAATAAAAAGGTGTCTAAAGCAGAAAAAACCTTCAACATGAAAAGCCAACAAGCTAAAATAAGGGAAAATTAATTAGCTAGGAGCTAACAAAATATTTTGCCCGGTGTCAGAGAGCTGCTAGAGGTAAGAAAAGACAGCCAGAATTTTCAATTACAATTTTTAACAGTTAAAATTGATCCTTGAAAAAGATTTTCAAAGAAGTTATAAAGAAAACCTTCACTCTTACTACCCTGCCCCATAACTTTACAGGTTGCTAGGCTATTAGGTCAGTATTCAGAAAACTTGCCTATATTCACACATAGGTAGATAACTAATTTCAAAGATTATAAACTTTTTAAAATTTATACCACTATTTATAGTAAATAGTAAATAGTTCTATTTACTATTGCTGTGTGACAAACCATTCCAAACTTAATGGCATGAAACAACAATTTGTTTATGCTTAGGATAACTGTGGACCAGGTATTCCAGAAGGTCACAGCAGAGATTGCTTAGATCTGCTCTATGAGGTCAGGACCTTAGCTAGGAAGACTCAAAAGCTGACTAGTGACTCAGTATCTGGGGTCTGGAATCATCCAAAGGCTCCTTCACTCACAAATCTGGCATCTGGATTGGAAGAGCTCAAAATCTAGGACTGCCAAATAGAGTGCCTAGACATGGTCTCCATGTGGTTTAACTTCTTCACAGCTTGGCAGCCTTAAGCCAGTTTGGCTTCTACATGGTAGCTCAGGGTTGGAAGCGTATATGATATAGCAAACAGCTAGAGGCTGCATACTCTTCCTGACATTCTTGGAAATTTCTAGTATCACTCATCACAAGAAAGTAACAAACCTGCTCAAATTGAAGGGATTGTAACAGAGACCGCACTTCTCAATGGGAGGAATGTCAAGGTCATGTTAAAAGAACATGTAGAACAGGAAATACTATTTTGACCATCTTTGGAAAGTATAGCATGTCACAGAGTCTTAGACCTCCAAAGATTTCACACAGTGATTCTATTCAGAGAGGTAGAGCATCCTTAGTATCAGCTAATTCTGGGCAGAGATCTCTTTAGAGATTTCAGAAAAACTCTCAGCAGTGCATCATTTGAGAATGAGCAAAAACTACATTATGGTAACGCAAAGAGGCCTACTTTACTGCTTGAGACTTTGGCAGGTGTTTGTAACACTTTTCATCTTATTCCCTCAGAATTCTAGAAATATCTCTAATAGTTGGTTACATTAAAACTAACTGCCAATCAGAGTATATATCTCTTTATGTGCTTTTTAGTAGATAGAATGAAAACCCACCACCTCACCAAATACTTAAAAGTATAAGTAGCAAAGAGGTGCAGAAAATACCCAAGATTTATTCCAGAGGAAAATAATCTGATCTGTCAAGCAACTATTTCTTCCTGACTTGTGCAGGCTCTATACAAAGATAAGTAATCAGGGATCTAAATTGAGCTCAGTCAGTTTAGCCCATGATTGATTCCTGTCCACTGTCAGAGAATCAGTTAAGATCAGTAAAAGCTACAGTCTTAGGTTTTATGAATATAAAAGGTGAAAAAATATGAACTGCTTAAAAATTATCTGTGTAGAATATTGGCTTAGGAGCCTAGAATTACTTTTAAGAAGGCAACTGCCAAACATCTTAGATGGAGTAGAGTTTAGTAAGCTAATTTGGAAGGAGGTAGAGGATATATGACAATGGGCTGATTAGAGCCCCCCTCCATTATGTTAGATTTGAGTGAGATCATTTTAAGTCATCTGCCAACTTCTCATTTATTCAGCAAACATTCATTGCCTTCTGTATCTCAACATTAAATGGGTGCAAATAATGTGAACGTGGATAGAATAAATTTATATCTGGCACTACACATGCCATTTAAAAGAATTTAGTAGCTACCAATAAAGCATTACATTTCTTGATCTTCTGTTGCAGTCTTTTCAGTTTTAACACATTATCTCTGTTATGTGCTCTTCCATGGTGATAGCTTCTTTATAATTTGATCTAGTGTTTCTCTTTATCAGTCCTGTGACTTTTCATTTATCTCATTTCCATTTATTCTTCTCAGTCATCAATGGACTCTGTCCCTCTTGCTTGTTTCATTGCAGGAGTATAGAGCTTTCCTTTTTCATTATCATTTGTTTTATGATTTCTCAGTCTTCAAGTTCAGTTGGTTTTTTTACTTCTTGTATCTTTTCAACTTGTGAGTTAACTTTAAAAATACACGTTTTTGTTTTTTGTTTTTTGGTGTTTTTTTGGTTTGGTTTGTTTTTTAATAGAGGTCTTTAATCTCTTTATTGTTATGGGAACTCTTGGCTGAAAGCTTTTTCCCTGGGTTGAGACCTGGTCCTTCCCCAGGGGTAGGATGGTGGGGGTAGGGTTTGAGTCAGATGGATGTGTTGACTAAAACAAAAACAGAAGTACCACAATTTTTTTTAATCAATCACCACTTTACTTTTCATTGTCAGCCTTTTTAAACAAACAGGATTTTCACATGACATTGGGTGCCTGCTCACTCACAGGCGAAAGTAATTATGTAAAAGCTATGCCACAGACCTTGGTACAATATACTTAAGTATTTTATATGTCCAAGCTCATTGTTCCAGGGTATAGCCAAAAAGGAAATATTTAAAATTGTAAGCTCTCCAAGGCAGGGTGACACTTGATTCTTCCTCTTAGGGGCAACTATTCTCTTTGTATATTTTTTCTTGCTTTTCCCATTTCATTCCCACTTCTCCTTTCCCTGCATGTGTGCAGGGCCTTTTCGCTAGAGCAGTCTGTACTGTGCTGCTTTCTCTCTCTTTTTTCATTCATTCTGCAGGAAGCATTGAGCCAAAGCAAAGTGCTAGGGCCTGTTCTCATGACAAATGTCTAAACCATCTAGGCTTCCCAAGTTTTCTTCTTACATCTTTTCTTCTCATGAATTTTTTTGAGTATTCTTTTGTCTTTGTTATTCAGGTTTATGATATAAGCTAAAAGGTGCTGAGATCGTGGGGTTTGGGCTTGAGGGAGGAACAGGTCCCCTTGCCTTATGCCTTTAGTCTAAAGCAAGCAAAGAGTTCTTCTGCCTTGGTGTTTGAGATACAGGTGTATTGGTTTCCAGCTTGCATTACTTGCGTCTAAACCCCTCAGCACTTCGTGGACGAAAAGTGGTACCTGGACTAAGGCAAGAAGAACAAGGATACCTGGGTCCTCAAGCCAAATACCATCTTAATGGTACCAACTCAAAATTAGTTTGTAACAATAGTAATAGTGTGGTCAGTGACATGGAGAGATACCTACAAGTTATAGTGGCAGCATAGAGTAATATAGAACTCTGTTATTGAGTGATCTATGGCCTAAGTACTGAAAGATGAATTTACTTAGAAAAGATGTGTATTCCAGGCAGAAAATTATAAGTATAAAGTTGGCTTGAAAGTTAATGGCATCTTTGGGATCTAAACATTGAATTCCTTGTTTTGTTTTGTTTTTTTCCTGTTGGTAAGTTATTAAAGGGTTTACAGGTATAATCAACTCTAATTGTGCAATTTTAAATTTTCCTATAAAAAGGTGCTTCCTGGGTGAGCTGGGGTTTGGTCAAAGGTGCTGAATTTACTGGAAAAGCAATCCAGAAAGGCGCTTCTAAACTCCGTGAACGGATTCAACCAGAAGAAAAACCAGTGGAAGTTAGTCCAGCTGTGACCAGAGGACTTTATATAGCAAAGCAGGCTACAGGAGGAGCAGCAAAAGTCAGTCAGTTCCTGGGTAAAGTAACTTTGGAAGACTTTCCTTTCAGTTAAATTAAAAATGGTCTCTTAATCTGGGTTAATCTAAATGCACATTTATGTGGTTTAACCTTAAGAGTAAAGGATTAGGATGAAGCTGTTTCACCTTGCTGTTCATCGTGGGATCTGTAGCAGCATCAACCTGAGAGCCTTAGAAATACTAAGGCTCAAATACGTTAGAAATACTGATACCCAAATATATTTCAGGTACTTGGCACACATTACCAATTCAGCATCTGCATTTTTACAAGATTCCTAGGTGATTTTTATTTGTATATTAAAGTTTGAGAAACATTGGTTAAAGGGTTGTTTTGATGGGTCGGAGAGGGAAGTGTCTGTACCTTTGAAAAGGAATGGCTCTGAATGTATTGGCTATCCTTGAATATGATACCTTCTTTTAAGGACAGCTCACTGTGTCATAGCTGAGGGTCAAGTGGAGGGATGTATTATTTCAGTTAAGCAGATTCAGTGATTCTGGTGTTCGTCTTCCCAAGCAATATGCTTCTCGTTCCTGCTCCTTTGAGAATCATAGCCTTAAAGTTTGGTATTTTGAGATGGTCAAATCACCCCTTAATAGGTTATGATTAAATTTAGTAAAATTATCTTCTTGGGATTCAATGTTCAATATTCTTTTGAATCAGATTATGGTTTTATTTTTTTTATACATTTAAATACCTTATTACTATTTCAGTAAGGTATTTGTTGATAGAACATAGAAACACTCATAGCTAAAAAACATGAAAGGTGGACCTATAGCTCTTACACTGCAGCAGTCTCTGTTTTCTTTTAAGCAAATTGCCATAAAGAACATTATATTTAAGAGGCAAGGTTATAATCCTTCAGCTCTGCAAACATGTCTTTAAACCAGATAATAGCCTTTGTTTAAAACTAGCCAGGCCTTGTTCTCATCCTTATATAGAAATGGTAAATTATGCAGTAAAACAATGTTAGATGCTCATATGAGAATTTTGCTAAGTAAGAATGGTAGAATCAAGGGAAACGTTTTCTAAGTGTTTCTTTTCTTTTTATGGTTATATTAGTTGATGGAGTTTGCACTGTAGCAAATTGTGTTGGAAAGGAACTAGCTCCACACGTGAAGAAGCATGGAAGCAAACTTGTTCCAGAATCTCTTAAAAAAGACAGAAATGGGAAGTCTCCTCTGGATGGTGCTATGGTCGTAGCAGCAAGTAGTGTTCAAGGTAACAATAGGCCAGAAATTTAACTAGGAAGGTCCATTTCTTTAGCTATCATTTTACTTACTTTTAAATATATTTGCAGGATTTTCAACTGTCTGGCAGGGATTGGAATGTGCAGCTAAATGTATTGTTAACAATGTTTCAGCAGAAACTGTACAAACTGTCAGATACAAGTAAGTTGACTTTTATAATTTTAATGACTAAAAACTCTTACAGCATTTGTAAAAATTCAGGACAGTTAAAATGATTATGTCATTGAGTAGCTGCTAAAACAAAATTTTTTTCACTGTTTTTCTTAATAATATTTTTAGCAAATTAATAGAATTACTGTGACTTTGCCTCCTATTACTAATGGTTATATTTCTTCATCATCAATGCAGAGAATATTTTTAATTAAAAAAAAAAAGCCTGGAGTTTCTGTATACCTTATCAACTACATGTTCTTTTTTTTTTTTAGTAAATTTTGGTACTTTTTGATTAAAAAATTTTTTTTAAAGTTTATTTATTTCGAGAGAGAGCATGGGAGGGGCAGAGAGGGAGGAAGAGAGAATCCCAAGTAGGCTCCACACTGTCAGCACACAGCCCAACGCGGGGCTTGAACCCAGGAACTATGAGATCATGACTTGAGCCCAAATCAAGAGTTGGGCACTTAACTGACTAAACCATGCAGGTGCCCCTACTGCATGTTCTTGATGGGTGATGTTTGCCTTTAGTTTTGATGGGAAAAACTTGAATTATAATTAAACTATTATACCTTGTTAATATTAGCCTCTTCTGTTTACAAAGAATGTTAAATTCTGTCACATCTTATTTGACTCTACCACTGTTCATTTTTATTAGAATGGACAGATGGTATGTCATCTATTTCATATATTAACAAGTGGACAAACAAAAAATGAATGATCTAAGCTGATCTGATAACTATTTTAAGGTGGACTTAAAACAGGTCTTCTGATTTGAGGTCTTTTTTCTTTATAAGTCCTAGGGCAATCAAGGTCTAAAAACTAAAGATAATATGAAGGACCTGAGTTGCTTTCTTAGCTTTGCATGAGTTTAAAGCCTAATATTAAATTTTTATTTAGAAAGAAAAAAGTAATATTAGTGGTGTTCTCAAATCTCAGTTATTTGTGTTAATTACCCACTCACAACATTTGAGTTCATACTTCTGTATCAGATAGTGTGTTTGGTTCTTTTCAGTATATGTTATTTAATCTTTAACACTATCATCTCCATTTTTACAGATGAGGAAGCCAAAGTGTAGAGCTGTTAAACTTTGTTAAAGATTATACCCCTAGTAAGTGGTAGAGCTGGGATGTAAGCCAGGTATCTTTGTGTCATGCAGTATGAAACAACAGTGGTGGACCAACCCTGCCCTTGTTGGGACATCTGTGCAAGTTCAGTATCTAGAGTTACTTTCCAGCACTATCTGCCATACATTTAGATTCTCTTCCACCATAGTAAATTACCTTTGACTTAGAAAAAACTAACTTAATTTCTCCTGAGTTGATTTGATCTCCATCTGGGGCATGCATACCTTTGAATCAAAGCAACATGACACATCATCTTACAGTTTCAGTTTGACTAAAAGATTTGGCAAAGAAGATCCAGAAAAGATCTGTAATTCTTTTGGTGGAAATATAAAACCCAAGTCTTCAGTCTTATCTTTTGCTACTTATACCATTGATCTCTAATGCTCTTTGTGTTATGGCTTTGAGGTTACTTTGGTGGATCAGTCGTAATTAGAATAACAGTTTCTTGTTGCAAGAGCAGAAGAAAGTCAGAAGTGCCCTTTAGGCCAAAAGTGAATTCATTTTAGATTATCAGTATCATTTGTTAGCAGAGATAATTAAGCAGTCATGTTAGGAAATGCTTCATTAGATTTGTCCATTTCCTACTTTAATGAAAAAAAAAAAGGTTACCTAAGTACGATTAAGTGGAGCCTTATTAAAGGTTAGGGATTCACATAACTATCAAAGTTTTGGTGTAGATTTTGTATTTTTTGTCCTTAGTGAGGAGAACTTAATATGATGAGAAGGATATTTTAACAGTGACTCTGAGCTCATTTATTTCTATTATGGTACATATTGCTATTTTATCCTTTCCTCCAAAGATTCACGGAATGAAAAAACAGGTGAGAATTTAGTTAAGTATTAGGTTTGTATTTTTTTTAAATAATGTTTTTTTTTTTTAATTTTTAACGTTTATTTATTTTTGAGACAGA